AGGTGCTCAGTGATGCCTTCACACGAAGGTGCAGAACCAAGAAGAGAAGAGTGAGAAGTCATTTCAGTTTCTGGGATGAGCCTCACCGGAGGCCCACTGCCTCTACACTATTGCAGGAAGCGATGGGTGTATATATTTATTTTTGCTCAAAGTATCTTGTGTTCGTTTTGTTTTTACTCCTTTCTTCTTTGGAGAGGGTATTTACAAAAGAAACAATCCTGAAAGATGCATTTATTTAAATAAATCCTCATATTTCTCCTCTCAAATCCAAAGAGCCATAACGTCCATATCCAGTGAGTGGCAGTTAGGTAGACGTGGAGGTTTTGTCTTGAATTTATGCAAAGTTTCTCTCCTGAGTTCTCTCTAAGTGAAGTCACTGTGTTGACACAGACAACATCTGTTTTTAAACCATAGAAATGCTGGCTTTGCGCTGCACTTGGGAGAGGGTCTCTGCCACCCACATCGACCAGTCCTTCCATAGACGCTCCTGCGATCCCTGGCAAAGGAAAGGCGAAGGGAGGCAAAGATATTTTCAAACAGTAGGGAAAACTGGTCCAAACAACAGAGCTGTTGGTTCAAACAACTGTTGTCTAAAGGCTTTGGAATTCTTTTTCTCCAGCCAGTGTATCATCCACACTGGCAGCAGCACATTCTTTTGAAGAGAGAGATTTATGCATTCGTTTCTGCACTTTACAAACCCACCACAATGCCCGGCCAGTGAGGCTCCGTGGATTGAGCACACTCCCGTGGACTGAGAGGTCCCGGTTTGATTCCCAGTCGGGGCACATGCTCGGGTTGCGGGCTCCATCCCCAGTAGGGGGCGTGCAGGAGGCAGCCGGTCAAGGTTTCTCTCTCACATTGATGTGTCTCTCTCTCTAAAAAAAATCAATAAAACATATTTTAAAAATAAAAATAAAAACTCGTCACAAAGGGGAGAAAGAGTGACTGCAGTGTGGAAACCTGACAACACAACCTCAGCCAAGTGATGGACCAGAAGTCATGCTGAGGGTATGGGTGCTTGATGTGATGTGGTAAGAACCGGGCTCGACCTCTGTGGTCTTCCTCCTGTAAACCACACCCCCAGGCTAATCATGAGAAAAAGATCAGACAAATCCCTGTGATATACCTGACCCGTACTCCACAAAACCATCAAGATCTTCAAAACAAGGATGGGGAGAGACTCACAGCAAGAGGAGCCTAAGGTGACACGTTAACTGGGTGCAACGTGGTACCTGGATGCGATCCAGGAGCAGAAAAGGGACATTCGGTAACATGAAGGAAATATGAGTGGACTTTAGTTAATAACAATGCATCAGAGGTGGTTTAGGTGGTGACAACTGTTCCTGTACTAATGAAAGGTCTAAGTAGGCGGAAACGGTGCATGCAGGGGAGGGAGTTTGCATGGGAACTCTCTGCACTACCTACTCAATATTTTGAAAATCTAAGACTGTTCTAAAAAATAAAGTCTATGGAAGATAAAGTGTTTTTAAAAATCTATCACTGGATTTCTGTTGCTGCAGGAGACTTTCCTAAAATCCAGACACCAAAGTGGGTCCCTGAAATGATTTTAGGTGGTTCATGGACAGAGTCTTAAATAACCTTGAACCCCATGGTTCCATGTCCCTTCACCGGTCCCATCTCAGTCCTGATTCAGTCACCAAGAGGGACTCCCAGGTGAGCGCTGGCAGCTTCTCTAGCCTTCGCCGCCTCCCTTTGAACAAAAAAGAGAAACCTTCAGGCTCAGAACTTGGTTTTTATTACTTTTATTGTTCTTAAACTTGGTGATGTCTGTGTCCTGGAAATGACCATACTTTCTCATTTATGAGAGTCATATTTCTTTTCTTAAAGTAAATTTATTTAAATAACAATGGGAGCCCATTTAATTCTTTAATAACATTTTTTTTTCTTTATTGATTTTAGAGAGAGAGGGAGGGAGAGGGAGAAAGACAGAAACATTGATGAGAGAGAACATCGACTGGCCGCCTCCTGCATGCCCCCCACTGGGGACCGGGCCCACAACCTGGGCATGTGTCCTGACCGGGAATCAAACCGGTGACCTCTTGGTGCATGGGTCGACGTTCAACCACTGAGCTGCACCAGCCAGGCCCATTTAATTCTTTTTAAAAATTACTTAACTACAACAACATAGTCCTCAGATACATGAAAAACCAGGAAAGTGGTATTCTAGTGGCTGAAGTTGAGAACCACACCTGCAGCATGTCACTCAGGCCCTCTCCCCCTGGGGACACCTGTCCAGCCTCTCACTCCAGATGCTCGACCCTGCAGCCCAAGGATGCCCAGGAGATCAGAGGTGCAGAGATCCAGGGCTCAGAGGAAATCAGAGAGGCCACGGAGAGCAGGTTTAATTTCCACGTGCAGCTCTGCCTGGATTCTTCCCACGTGGCTTGTTTCCACTGGGGTCCATGGCCGTCCTCTCATAATATGGGTCCGCAGTAGCGCTGATGAAGCAACCGATTCCTTTTGCCCCCATGAGCTTTACAGGTGTGTCAGCGGCCAAACCTGCAACAGGGAAGCAGGGCTGGGTGAGTGCCCGTGGGATCTGACTCCCAGCCCCACGTGTCCCTTCCATGTGACCTGGGGCCCGACCTCTCGGAGCAGAGGAGCTTGCTGAGCACGAGGGTCAAAGCCTGACTCTATCACGGACCATCTAGGGCCCTTGGATGAGACAATGTACGCTCCCTGGACCTCATCTTCCTTGTCTGTAAAGTGAGCATAGTAATACTCCCTGCGTGGGATCACCGTGAGGGTAAATGAGTTCATGTAAACACAGCACTTAGCACAACGCTGGTACCCAGTAAGTGCTCTATAAACACGTGCTGTTGCTGGTCGTGCCAGTGGTCCCCACCTCACTCACAGTCAGACGTGGGTCGTGGCAGTACCCACATCATGGGGATAAACAGTCAGTGCACATTAGTCCTCAGTGCCGTGGCCTGGCTCCCAGCAAATGCTCAACATTCAATTAATTATATCCATTTTACTTATTAGTAGTATTATTCATATGGACTAGCAATTCTAAGAATTGGACTGTGTCTCTAATTTTTGGTAACAGCAGTTCAGATACTAGGAGCAGTCAAGGAAGGTTTGCAAGGTCAGAACCTCAGGGCTACCAAAAGGAAGTCTGTGTGTCTCCATGGAGCTAGAGGTCCGGGTGACGTGCCGTACAGTCCAGCAGTGTGGGCTGGTGCCCTTCTTACCAGGACTGCTCTGTGGACAGGCAGAGGCTCCATCTGGCCAGCTGGGTTTGCAGAACCAGGCCCGAAACAAGCCGGCTGCTTCAGGAAGTTCAATGAGGTCAGAAATGCTCATCCAATCAAAGTTCTTTTTCTACAGAAAGGCAACATGATGAAATGGGCAAACGACTTGGCAGGTCGCCCCAAAATGTGCCCGACTGAGAGAATTTCACACCCCGTGGCTCTGAGTCCACAAAGCCCAGAAACCAAATGATACTCTCCCTGTGTCATCAAGGGCCAACTGTGGGGAGCACAGAGTCCCCAGAGACACACATTCCTGTGTCAGGAGCTCAGGGGACAGCCTTGGATTGCAGTGAACTGACCATGTATGCGTGGATCAGTCACTTCTGACTCGGCCTCAGTTTCCCCACCTGTAAAATGAGGCGATTGGATCACGTGACATCTAACATACATTCGAGCTCTGATAACCAATTACTCTTTGATTTCAATGAAGGTGAGAATTGGTACCTCATCTCCTGCAATAGAATTCAAACCTTTAAAGCAACCGGCAGCTGTTTCCCGCGGTGATGCACAGGGGGCTGCGAAGGCGGGCGAGCCCTTCTGTAGACAATTGTCAGTATTTTCCTGGATGATTTTGTGTGTGTATCCAAGTAATGGCAGGGCTGGCTATTATTTCTGCCTGCCCTGCATTCTTGTCCTTCTATTTTATTTTTTTAAGATTTTTTCTTTATTGATGTTAGAGAGAGAGAGAGAAACATGGATGAGAGAGAACATTGATTGGCCGCCTCCTGCATGCCCCTCGCTGGGGATTTGGCCCACAACCTGGGCATGTGCCCTGACAGGGAATTGAACCAGTGGCCTCTTGGTGCATGGGTCAACACTCAACCACTGAGCCACACCGGCAAGGCGTGTCCTTCTATTTTAGAAGACAGCCCATTTTTCCTGCCTTTGAAAACTTCCCCTCCCACATCCACTAGGCATGTCAATCACTAGGCCTCACCCTCCCAACTCCCTTGAATAAGTAATTGGATGCATGATCCAAAACGAACCAGTGAGAGTCCCTGTAGGGGTCTGATAAGGACGCTGGGGAGAGACGGGCTCTCTTCTAACATCAAGAACCCTCAAAGCTGTCGGGAGCCAACTGTGCCACCAAGCGAGGAGAACCTAGCAGAGGCTGACACCACCCCAGGGGAAGTGCAGAGGAGACAGGGAGAAAAGGAGGAATGCAGAAAGGGAGTGAGGAAGGGAGAAAGATAAAAAGGAAGCAGGGAGAGAGAAAGAAAGGCAGAAAGGAAAGAGGGAGGGAAGGAAGAAGGGAGCGTCCTCTAGTGACTCAATTTCTTTCTTTTTTTTTTTATCCTCACCCAAGGACATTTTTGCATTTATCTTCAGATAAAGCGGGAGGGAGAGAGGGAAGAGAGAGAGAGAAACATCGATGTGAGAGAGACACAACTGGCCACCACCCACACAATCCCATCTGGGGCCGGGGACAAACTGCAACCGAGGTACGTGCCCTTGTGGGAACCAAACCCAGGTCTCTCTGGTCCACTGGCCGACACTCTAACCACTGAGCCAGACCGGCCAGGGCATCAATTTCTTAATACAAACCTCTAGATCCAGTGATGCATGAAGGGGAATGTATGCCCTGGCTCTTCTGGGAAAGTTAGTTCATAACTTCCCTATCCCTCTCTTATTTTCTTCAAGGCCATAGGTTCTTCAAATGGGGACCTCAAAAAAGATGAGAAACTACCACAACTGGAGCATTTCTTAGCGATGGAATGAACTCACTTCAGAAAGAAACAAAGTTTATTTGATGAATATAAATAAGGCGATCAGCACAAAGTACTTCTCATACACATGGTAAGAAATTTATGAACTGTACATACCTTGTACTTCTACTAGACACGAGGTTACAATGACTGGCTAATACATGCCCACTGGTAGTTTCTGAGAGTTCCTTAGTTTTATTTATTTATTTTTCATATCGAAGTCCATAATCACACGGTCAATATCACAACCCACATGCCACTCACTGAAGAAATGTTACAAGAAGCGCTATCACACGGGGGTCTCCGGGAGTTAAGATACACTGACCCCTGGCAGCATTCAAACGCCACTCGACACAAAAACATCTCAGATAGAACTGATGTCAACACATTGGAGGTCTCGTCATAAACACTGTTTAAAAAGTAAATTGAAACCCACTTTTAAATGAAAGTTGACACGCTGTTAACGTGCATACTGGATACACAAAAATCATTAAATACAAAATAGAGACTGTACATGGAAATCAAATCGGGTTTGCAGGACAGGCCTGCTTTTGCATGAAGCAAGAAGAACAACTTCTCCCAAATGTTAGCCTCAACTTCTTCGTCTCCCAACTTCATTCTGATTAGAGGGGGACCCACTCAGGTTTGCGCAAAGGAAATATCTTCCCAACATCACAGTGTTTGTTGTAAACCCAGAGACTATTTGTAATGTGTGAAAAGGGAATTTTTTTGTAACCCCCAAACATCAGGAATTTTACATGAAATGGGAAAATATGCTATGTGAAACAGAATTTAAATTTTTCAGGGACTGAATGATATGCCCCCAGAAATGTAAGATCAAAATATTTGTCATCAACAAAAGAGGGACAAAAAATGGTCCCCCAAACAATAGCTGTGACAAAATTGGCACATACTTAGAAAAAGCTAACTCCATGTTTGGTTGCCTTTTTTGTTTCCAGGACCCTATTTTCCCTAGTGGATTTCCTGCTGCTACTTCAAGTATTCCGCTGCAGAGTTCAGGTCAGGGCTTGGCTGGAAGAGGCAGTGAGGACCTCCTCTGGAGCAATGCAGACTGTTCATGGGGGCAAGCCGGTGGCCTGGGCTTTCAGTGCAACATTGTGTTAAAATGTGCTAGATAAGCTTGCAAAGAACTCTGCTCATTCAGATCCCTTTGATAGTTAAAGGACAAACTTTTTAAACATGAATGTATTTGGAGGGTTTATGCAACACATAAGCTTTACAGAGCTCGCTATACTTACGGCAAGAATAAAGCCAGAAGCAAGAAACCTGCTTGAATCTATTACTCCAAATGCACCGAGAATGAACAGTGCAACTCAGACAGTTTCATCTTTCCCGACAAATAAGGTGTCAGTCTTATAAATATCTCTATGGCTCACGGGAGAGGTCCAGTTAATTGCACCAACATTTTAAAAAGTAATAATAACGACTAAATTCAATGCAAGATTCAGAAACATCTGTTTAGAATCCTTTCCACAGCAGCAAAGAAAGACAGCTATATTTATTAAGGCCACTCATGCTTAAATTCACTGTTTATCCTTTAAAAAATGCAGATTTTCATCTCCCACTTGCATACACGTGGAAGGATTTCTTCCACTGACAAAAAAAAAAAAAAAAAATGAGGATCAATACAAGAGTTGCACATGTTTGCCAGACTTGGTCATGAATTTTATGAAGTTATAACACTTTAATTTTTTTTTTAATCTTCAGAGGAAGCAGTAGGAGTTTAATTCTCCTTAGTACCATGTCACTGTATGTAAAAGACCTCAAAATTTGGTCTCTCTCCCTGGCATGTGCTTTAAATGATGACTCTGTCCCCACAAACATGTTGTGTAGAGCTATATACAGATAAACAGCTTTTGTGATTGCTTCTCATTCATCAATGTTTTCATGTTTGATGCTGAAAATGCTCAGGAATCCATGTTGGAGACATTTTTTTAAAAATTGAGAAATGACCCTTCGTTTACAGAAGATCTAAGCTTACACTGTTTGCACAGCACTTGGATCTTGAAATGTGAACGAGTCCCAGCTTCTTCATGGAGACCTGTGCATACGGGAACAGCAAGAGTCTGAGGCTCGGCCCCACCCAGCCACAGGGATGCGTGGCACACGTGGCGCAGAGATCTGCAGGTGCCTCAGGCTTTTGCCACTCTCCAGTATGGAAGCAGGGTAGACAGCGTTATGAATGATCAATTTAGATGTGCCATGCATTGTCAGAGACACACACCACGTTCTCATAAGGCGATTTCTTGGCAAGTAGTAGTGGTTTAAAAAAATTGATTTCATTTCCAACCTGGCCCAGAGGTAACTACTGGTTACACCATCAAAATGTGGTTCTTCAAACAGCAGATTAAAGAAACAGAGGAGGGTAAAGGCTTGCCATTTCTGGTGGTTTGGTTTCTTTGTCAAACACTCCATGCATCTTGATGTACAAACACTGCCAACACCACTCACTCCCAGAATTCATACTTTTTGATAATCTAATGCATTAGGAATGACCACTTAGACTGAACCAGCAGAGAAACTGGAGATGAAGTTAATTGTCTAACAGAAGCTGAACCCACACTTAAAATCCAATGGACTTCAAATGTATCCAATGATGTTGAAGTCACAGAAACAAAATGCTACCAAATAACGATATTCAGAAGAGATGATCAAATTTTAAATGTCCAAATCCTGACAAAAAAAACCCACAAACAAAAAGGAGAATCTGTCATTTTGCTCCTCTGCCTCCTTCTTCCTTTCCAGCACATGAAACGACATGGGATGGTGAAGGAAATATCAGGTAGAACAGAATCGTGCTCAGTCATGGGAGTGAGACTCCTCTCCAGTCCTGATGAGCATTCCAGGTGGGGGTGGACGGTGATGTGAGCTGCACTGCAATAGATTATCAGAATATTGCTGCAGAGCTGCGTGTCCCCTTTGGTCAGCCCTTCTGATAGCTGCAACAAGAAAGCACACCATTTAGCATCCCAGTGACCAGCCGTGATACTGGGGATAACCCCTGCAGAGGCTCCCCACCCCCCACCCTGCACTGACCCTCCTCTGCTCTCTGTGTTGGGATTGGTGAGGGGCGGGGGTGGCAATGAGGAGGAAGCATTCAGGAAGGGTGAAGTGACCAGAAAGTTGAATTATGTCCTGCAAACACATCTGAGAAGGAGTTTCTTTCAAAATATGTCACACTTAGGTCTCAGATGTCTCCTGATAGGCAAAAAGAAATGGAAAGGCAATATGCCGGAATGTTCCAGTGATTATGTCTATGTGATCGGTTATGTGTCCATTTTTTTTCTCTCCAAACTTTTCTACCATGAGTTTGGTTTCTCAGTTGTTTTTTTAACTTGACGTTCTAGAGATTGGAGAGTTAAAGATGATCAAGACACCAGGAAACTTAACATTCGCTCACAAACCACGTGCAACAATTTGAAAGAACACTGGACCGAGCGATCCCACAGCTAGGTGTACACCCAGAAGCACGGGAACACGGGCACACACAGAGGCACCGCTGTTCACCGCACCGTCTTCCACAGTAGCCCAAAGGTAGAACGACTTCCAAGTGTCCATCAATGGGGATGGATGAACAAAAGCGGTACGTGCACACCATGGAACACTGTTCAGCCCCTAAGAGGACATGAAGGCCTGGCCCACGGTACACCACGGACTCCGAGGATGTGCTAAGTGAAGTGAGCCAGACTCCGAAGGACAAATACCGGATGATTCTACTTACATGAAGTGTCGGGAGTGACAAAGTCATAGGTGCAGAAAACAGAGGAGAGGTCTCCAGGGGCTCCAGGGGAGGGGCAATGAGGAGCCACTGCTGAGTGTACAGATTTTCTGTCTGGGGTGATAAAAATGTTCTGGAAATAGATAGTAGTGTTGGTTGTACAACTCTGCATAACCCGTAACACTACTGAATTGTACACTTTAAACTGGTGAAAATGGTCAGTTTTATATATATTTTGCCACAATAAACATGTATTTTTATTTATTTATTTATTTTCCTCTCCCGGGGACATTTTTGCATTCATCTTCAGATAGAGCGAGAGGGAGAGAGGATGGAAGAGAGAGAGAGAAACATCGATGTGAGAGAGACACATCTACTGGCTGCCACTCACATGACCCCAACCGGGGCGGGGACAAACTGCAACCGAGGTACGTGCCCTTAGTGGAAACCGAACCTGGGACTCTCCTGTCCATGGACTGACACTCAAACCCCTGAGCCAAACCGGCCAGGGCAATAAAACCACATTTTTAAAAAGAATATTGACATCTCCTTAAACAGAGGAGAACAAAACAAAGTTGGCTTTGATCCCCACATCTGAAGGCCCGCGTGTGAGCTTGAACCTGACCCAGAGTGGCGCAGCCTGGCCCTGCACACTTCGTGTCCCGGGAACAGGTATCCAGAGAACCTCGGCTTCTCTCCCTGTCCCGGGGAGAGGCCCCGAGGGCAGGACACGCTGCAGCCTGGGAAACAGCGCAAGGGGTAAGAGGAGAGGCCATCCCCCACCGCCCCTCCAAACAGCGGCTCTCTTCCCTGCGATGCTCCACTCTGCGCCGGCACCATTATCACTCACATATGGCCTTTGAATGCTTCGGGAGTTTCCGGGCATATGGCAGTGGTGCAGCTATCTGGGGAATACGGCAGGGAGGAGAGAGATCAAACACGCGCGCACACTCACACACGTGTGAGCCGTTTTTTATGGACAGCCGGGGCCGCCTGATTCGGCGGTGGATGCGCAGCAGGGCTCCAGCCCCATGGCCTGGAGCGCGAAGACCCCACCAGGTAGGCCGCTCTCCACGCCGTCATTACACAGTGCTAATGAAGTATGTGGCTTGGGTGAACTCTGCTAATTCAGACTCTGAGGAGTTTGGTGTAACCCTTCTGGTTAAGAAACTTGAATCGGAGAAAAAAAAAAATGACTTTTGCAGAGCCAGAAAGCTAGGGAGTTCCTAGAGCAGATCATATTACTCATTCTGGCACATAAAGTCTCTGCAAACTCCGTATGAAAATTGTAAGTCAGAGCACGCTTTCTGCTCCGTGAGCTGTGCATAGCTCTAATTCTTTTGTGCATTAAGCATTTCTTAATCATCCTTTTAAAAGGCTGACCAATATATTAAAAGGGCACATGATTAAAAGGTAAAGAGAAACCCAAAGTAGTACTAAAACACACTGGTCATATTTTACAGATGGAGAAACGAGTGAAAAATAATTACAGTGAATGTCCGATGTCCTTGATGTTTTTCCAAGATAAAGTAGCAAAGAACAATCATTTATTCAGTTGAGAGAAAGATGTCCAGCTGGGTAACAGGACACAGGCAGAAGGCAGTGTCCTGCAACTGCGGTGCACTCTCTCGGGGCGAGGTTTGTGCCTTGGAACAGAGAAGTCTCCAACAGTGTCGCCACTCCTTCCATCAGACAATCCATTCGCCAGGAGGCCGGCACGGCTTTGAGAGGAAAAAGGTCCAGTGGCGTCGCCCGCAATTGGACAAGCAGATGATCGGGCAAACATGCATCTGCTTTAACAAAATTAAAAAAGGAATCCTGGTTTTCACCGGTGAGGCGATCTGGGCAGCCACCCGCTGTGAGATCATTTCTGGCAAGTCCTCCCCCACCCGGAGGGTTGCAGCATCCTCTCTTGCAGCACCCAACTCTGCCTTCTCACCGGTGCAGCCAGCAGTGCTATTGCAATGACACCTCCTTCAATGCATCCGCGTTCACAGTCCTCATTTACAATGCCTTTGCCCTGGGGAGGAAGGATGGACTCCTGGCCATGGAGGCCGGGCCCCCTCTGTCCCTCTCTCTCCAGCTCCACACTCCACCTCTGCTGAGCTTGCGTCTGCAGGCTCAAGGCTTTCCTTTCTGCCCACCACAACCTTCTCTTTCTGTCTGACATGCATTCACACCAACCCTTGACCTGATCGATTCCTACCTATTTGTCAGTCTCACATTCAATGTCAGGTCTTCCCTAGACGCCTTTCCTGACCCCTGAGTGCAGGATGTAGCAGGAAGTCTCACATCTACTGCACTGTCCCCTTCTGGTGATTTGTCTAGACTTTTACTGTTCAATATGACAGCCACTGGCCACATGTGGCTACTCAGCACTTGGAATACAGCTAGTCCGAATGGACATGTGCTCTAAGTGAAAAATCATGTAGGATTTTGAAGACTTGGTATGAAATTAGCTTTTTAAAAAATTGATTTTGAATGAATATAAATCAATATATTAAATATTAGTCCTGGTCGGTATGCTCAACGGTTAGAGCATTGGCCTACATGCCTAATGGTCTCGGGTTCAATTCCTAATCAAGGGCACATACCTAGGTTGCAGGTTCAATCCCTGGCCTGCTCATGGTGAGTTTGGGAGGCAACCAATCAATGTGTCTCTTTCATATTGATGTTTCTCACTTTCTCTCTTCCTCTCCCCCTCAACCCCACTTCCTCCCTTCCACTCTCTCTAAAAAAAAAAAAAAAAATCAATGGAAAAAATATCGTCATTTGAGGATTAACAAGAAAATATATATATATATATATATATACACACATACAATTTTAGATGTATGAATATCATGTTTATGTTGATTTCATGTTAAATGATATTTTGGATATACTGGATCGAATTAAATATATTATTATAATTAATTTTACCTCTTTCTTATTACTCTTTTTAATGTGGCTATAGTTTTGTGGCTCAAAAGTATAGCTGTGGCTTGCATTATATTTCTATTGAACACCACCGGCCCAGGGGCAGGGGCAGGCCTGTCTTGCTCAGGTAGCATCCCCTCTGCCTTGCACAGTTCATGGAACAGAACAAGCTGACTCCCTCACTCATTCCCCAGGTGTTAGAGAGCACCCAGCGCAGGCAGAACCTTAAAGTCAAACCCCTGCCCAAAGGTCTCCTGCTCTTGTCCGGCCGGTGTGGCTCAGTGGTTGAGCGTTGACCCATGTACAAGAGGTCGCCGGTTTGATTCCCGGTCAGGGCACATCCCCAGGTTTTGGGCTCAATCCCTGGCGGGGAAATGGGGGAGGGCATGCAGGAGACAGCCCATCGATGTTCTCTCTCATTGATGTTTCTATTTCTTTCTCCCTCTCACTTCTTCTCTCTAAAAAAAAAAATCAATAAAGGGAAAAAATTATTTCCTGCTCTAACTCTGGCATCTGAACTGTGAATTTCTCATACTATGATCATGCCACCTTACAGATGTAATTAAGGCTACTAGTTAAATCAAGGCTCCTTGACTCTAAATCAAGAGAGGTGATCTGAGTGGACCTAATTTGATCACAGGAGCCCCTCAGTAGTAGAGATTCCTCTCTTGCTGGTAGGAGAAGGGAAAGCTGGAGAATCTGACATGCTGGAGGGACGTGCTATGCCGAGCTGGAGGGAGCCACGGGGCCAGGACCGGAGCATGTACCGTAGGGTCCGAGGGTGGCCCCACCAGCAGCCAGCAAGGAAACAGAGACCTCAGTCCCGCCCCACAAGGAACTGGACTGTGCCCATAACCTGAATGAACTTGGAGGTGGGTGCTTTCCTGGAGCCTCCAGGTTCAAGTCCACCTGGCTAACACCTTGATCTCCATCTCATGAGACTGCACACGCCCAGGGGAGCCTGACTGGTCTGACCTACAGAGCTGTCAGATAATCAATGAGTGTTGTTTGTGGTGGTTTGTTACACAGCAGTAAAAACCTAACATCGCCTCTCCCTGTGTCCCGCAACGCCCTTGGTGCCAGGGATATAATGATAAAAAAGACAGACACCATCTGTGCCCTAGATTCACAGATGAATAAAAGAATGAGGGTTTTAAAAATTTATGACTTGAGCCCTGGCTGGTTTGACTCAGCAGTAATAGTGTTGGCCCTCGGACCGAAGGGTCTCGGGTTCAATAACTGGTCAAGGGCACCGTACCTGGTTGCAGGTTCGATCTCTGGCCTTGGTCTGGGTTGTACAGG